ACCAGGTTGCCAGGTGCCTTATCACACCGTGGGGTCAGCCAATCACAGGCAGTCATCTTGGGTTCCAGATCCCCAATTCCTGCCAACCCCTCTCAGTCTTCTTCAAGCAGCTGCAGTCTCTCTGCATCAAGCTCCTACACCTCTTCCCTACCCAACACAACTGGACTCACATATCCTGACATGTGGGATAGTGTTTGTGTATATTACTACTGGTTGTTCAGTACAATATTAGCTTTTAATTTTATACAGTTCTTTACCATTTGTTTCTGCTCTATCCTGTAAGGTTCTGTATCTGTGCATTCTTTCCCTGGTGTATTAATTTGGTATGTGAAAATTCATTGCCTCTATTTTCTCCTGTTACAGAACCACAACCATTCTACTTTCCATGTCTGCCTATGTATGTTAATAAAGTATCCCTGTGTGTAACTCTGAGGTTGAATCATTCCCCATCTCCTCTGATCAGGGGGCAGTGCTAGCGGGTCACAAAATACAGAGAGCCAGGTCGCTCTTTCAAATGGTGTGTAATTACTGAGCACAATGGTGTGCAATTATTGATGTACATAATTACAGGATGTATAGGTCCCTTTGTACGTCCAGTACCCTGACCAATGTTTTGTTTCAATGTACTTATGGAGACAACACTGTTCCTGCCAAAATAAAACCACAACCCTGAAGACCTCCACCTGGCTGCCACATTGAAGCTCGCTCAGAACAAGCTGCAGAAGTCAAGATTAATTTGGATAAGTAGAAAATGCTGTATCCCACATGATACAAGTTGCACTAGACCAGGGTATCTATAATGGGATTTGGTTTGTTTGGTTGATGTGAGGACTGTTAATGATGTTTGCTGATTCTGATGTGCCGCTTGAAACATGAAATCTATTAAGTCATGTAACGGAAACCCAGTGCCTAAATTATGGTACAAATGCAAACCCTCAGCCCAGCTACATGTAAATACTGTACTGTAAGTAATGGGTATGTTATGGTTTCATCCACGTAGGTATGAGGTGAAGTCTCCCCTGTCCCCTCTCCGTCTGTCATGGTATGTTGCTACTCGCCTGTGGGCAGGGGCTCATTTCATAATAGAGGATTTGTGGGACTTTTACAGTTTATGAATTGATGTTCTCAAATGAATTACATGTTATTTCTGCTACTTACTGTATATGAATAGCTGTTCTTGGAAGATATTAAACTACTATATGAATTTGTTACTTTGAGGTTCTGATACTGTAAAAATAATTGTCAATTTCTCTCTGTGGACTATGGAAGAGGAGACATTTATATTTTCAAATGGAAGGGTCGTATTCCTGCCCTATAACCCCCTAGAGTCTAAGGGCCCAGTGCTGGGATTCTACTAAGCTAACATATTGAATTATTTTCAGTTGGTCATACCAAGGATCATTTAGTCATTCGATTTGGAATTTTAGGACCCCTGTAGGTATAAAAACAATATTTAAAAAATATATTTGATGAAACTTACTGCTATTATTCCATAGAAACATTTTGAATTACAGATTCATACATGGAAAAACAGATAGTCAAAAAATAAATCAAAAGGAAGTTTGTTTTGAAGTGTCTGTCCTATCTCTAACGTATATGTATATCTCTTGTGTTTGTGAGAGTCTCATCTTCCCATAGAGGGGTCATAATAGTTTGTAGCCCAAACCGTTCGGACGATACAGACGTTTTCGTGACAAGACTACATTTCCTAATGTCTCCTGGTCTGACAAACACCTCCGTAGCTCTGCTACCTTTCACCGCAGATGCGGGAGGCCGACATTGGCGGAAGCGATGGGTTGATTGGCGGATGCGGTGGGTTGACACTTAGCCCATGAAAAAACCTGATGTCTCTAGCTTAAAAGACAGATTTTGATGGGGATTTTAGAATTATGCTATTTCGATTTCCGCATGGGAGCAGACATCGACTCTATCTTTTCAAATCAAGGGTCGTATTCCTGCCCTATAACAAAGAGTAACAAAACACTTCAGTGCATGAAAACATTGCAACTGTTAACTCCTACAATGGCTTGTGAAAGTATTCATCCCCCTTGGCATTTTTCCTATTTTGTTGCCTTACAACCTGGAATTAAAATTGATTTTTGGGGGGTTTGTATCATTTGATTTACACAACATGCCTACCACTTTGAAGATGCAAAATATTTTTTCTTGTGAAACAAACAAGAAATAAGACAAATAAACTGAAAACTTGAGCATGCATAACAACAGCTGTCTATCCCAAGCTCAATAGGCTAGTTGATACAATGGTACAAGTTCTCTAGTGACAGCTTCATGCTGGACCCAGTTTATTGATTTTATACAATGTTGCACTTCACTAGCGATAGCTCAAGTCAATACAGATAGAAAGGGAGGCAGACAGGCTGAGTAGAGAAATGAATGCAATTGAAAGAACCTGAATTTTCATCTGTTTTTTTTATCAGGATATTTTCTAATGTTTTTATTTGTTGGATTTAGGCCTATATCTTTTACTTAGTTGATGATGGAAGTTATAGGGCTACGGCTGCACTGGCCTATCTCTGAGTTTCATGCGCTCATTTCTTTAGCCGCAAATGGATCAAGGTTTATCAATGTGTCTGGTGCTCCTGCATTACTTGAATTTTAACTTTTAGATTTGTATCATTTAAATTCAGATTTGTATGATTAACCAGGTGACAATTATTTTGAGAAACGAAAACATTATCATTGAAATGAAACTTCCACAAAAAATGCGCATATGAAAATCATAACTGCCATGCAGATCGGTAGAAATGGTAGGATAAATTGTAAGCTTTCCCAAACTTGAAACTCACTCGCCGACTATGGTATTTACTATAACAACCATTAAACAAATTCGCATGAAAAAACGTGCCCCCCTATGGGAATTAAAAGCCCATCCAACTGATACGTTCTGGCGCCGGCCCTGATTATCGTTAACAGTTGACAAAGACTACTAAAACAATGACCTATATTTATACAGTCCTATCACCAGATTACTGTTCTGCAGGGAACGACACTAGACAGAGTTCAATGTACACCACATTCCTATGATATCCGAGTGTAGGAGGGGGAGGGCTGAAATCTCTGTGCTACAAAATAACTGGGAAAAATAGATCATTTGCAGTTGCGATCTGTAAAGTTGAGGCGGGGCAGAAGTCGTCAGCAATCTGTGAGACTGGCGTTTTTCTCATTTATGCAACTCTTCCGTTCTCCCTAACATGCCTCAAGCAAGCATGAAAATAAACAGGTTCTGCCGGGGTAGGTGATAAAGCCACACAGCACGCGTCCAGCCCGGACTAGAATGCGTTACAGTCTCAGTGGAGAATACGTTTCGAGAGAAGGACTAAATAATAACAACAGCCTAAACTGAAACCATGGACGTATTAAATTCATGAAGAATCTCAGTTGAGCCATAAAGTGAGTTCTCAAATTTTCAGTAAACATATAGGAAGATAATGTGTAACATTTCTCTCTTAGTTAGTTGAATTTAAGCTATACTCTTTTTCAAATCAACATATTAATTTGTTCGTGGAATTTGTTTTTTGGATTTATAACTACTTTATTCAAACACAAAAATAGCAAAGTTATAGATATTTCCTAGAAAAAAACTATTATTTTAAGTGTATGTTTGTTAGTAGTCTCATTATCCTCAGCATTTTTGCATTATGTTGGGCTTTTGAGAACTGTATTTCCACAGAGTTTCTAAACCCCGAGGCGCAACATCGCTAGACTTCCGGGAAAGCTTGCGAAACAGACGAAACAGACCAGACGGGGTTTGAGAAGTCAATGAGAGAAGTGAAAAATGATTCCTTAGTTGTTAATTTTCTCGTAATCTAAAGGCACAACCTAGATTCCAGCCAATGTCTTAAGTAGTTGAACATGTTATTACTCAAACCTCGTGAAAGTGACACACTGAAACGTTTATGCCTGTGTGGAAGGAGTGCCTTTGACGGCCTGCACATGCGCAGTTCGGCGCGAGACGTCTTAGATCCGATGACGTATTTTTACGCATTAGTTTTGCTAGCCAATGTCGCCATGACAGCGCCTACTAGCGTGATCAGGGATTCTATTGGAGAAGCAGTTTTAGCCTATCTTCATACTGTACGGTCTTTGGTATTTCTGTCTCTTTCTGTCTTTTTTTAGTGCCTAAATGAATTTGCAAATGGTGGAAGAATTGACTGTTGTGCCAGGGGGAGGAGCCACTCCCTAAGCCTTTTTACCCTGTGGCATATGTCCCCCTTTCCACTTTAAATTTGTTTTAGTGTTGGGTTACACAGGGACATGTATAAGGAAATATGAATATGTAAATGGTGACATATTTAGTTTAAGGCTGATTTTGCAAATATGGGCACTTTTGGATGTTAAATGTTTTAGAAAATGAAACCTCTTGAAACTGCTTTTTATCTATCTGAATATTTTTTTCACTCTGTCTGGAAACAAGATCTAATAGCGGCAGGGATGTAGCTCGGTTGGTAGAGCATGGCATTTGCAACGCCAGGGTTGTGGGTTCGATTCCAGTATAAAAAAATAAAAATGTATGCACTCACTAACTGTAAGTCGCTCTGGATAAGAGCGTCTGCTAAATGACTAAAATGTAAATGTAGTGGCTGAGACCATACTATTTAAGAATATACAGATTTTTATCGGTTCCCCCAAATACCCCAGGGGAAATGTCATTACCACCACGTCATCAAATTTGCTATTTTAGTTGAAAAGGAAATTACAGAAATTGTGCCAAGGGTATTTTATAAAACATTTCACATTATCATTTTTTTAATCATGTTTTTTTTTTCTATTTGGAAGTTTTCTTAATTATATGTATTCATCATTGTCATGTCTAAATGTCCATATATGCCTTGATGATACTCAGAAACATGTATTTACCACATCAAAATCTTAATATTTTACATTATTTTCGGAATTATCTTAAGAATAAGCATATAAGGTTCACATATGGGAAAAATCATCAATATCAATTGTAATTTATACACCCTTTCTTCAAAAATATGTACCGTCATGGTAATGACTTAGCATTGTGGTAATGACAGAGTGGTGGAAATGACATTTCATATAAAACAACTGATGAAAAATACCTTTAAACATTTTAATGTCACAGTTGTACATGTTTAATTTTATTGTACTGATGTCTGACATTGAAGACGTTTCCCAAGTTTGTTCTTCAAATTGGGTGTGAAGTCTTCCAGTAGAGTTTGAAGGATACCGTACACCTTTTCCTCTACAGTCAAATGGACATTAAACTTCTCTTTTGTTGCATCTTTTGTTTTCTTCTCTCTCTCTTCTGACTTTCCACTCAAACCACCATGTTTGTTGTCCACCATCAAAGAGGAAGTCTGGAGATCTTTCTCTTTGCAAAGAGAGCACTCCCGATACATGCACTCTTTGGTCATCATCTCGCAACACAAAGACCCAACCAATTCTTAAATGTTGCTGCTTTTAACCACTCCATGATATAACAACTTGTCTGCCATGAACTGAAAGTTGGCATGTGTCCCTGTCTTTCACTGATGGATTGACAATCCAAAAGGGATGTCTTTTGGTGAACTTAGTGTACGACAGCTTGACCTCTGGTAATTCTATCTTGAACTTCTGATGGAGTTTTGCCAGTATGTCATTCAGGTATTGCTTCTGCATTTTATTCTCGTGTCTTGTCATTGTTTCCCTTTTTCCTGTTGATGCTCGACTGTTATCATCACGTTCAAATAGCCTTTTTATTTAATATTTTATTGCTGGGCTGATTGCATTCGAATGTTTCTGTCTTGAGTACTGCAGACAGGTTGGCCGTTTGTTGTTTGCCCGCATTGTCTTTGCAGAGAATCCAAATTCTCTTTGTGCCATTTTCACCATGCAATAGTTTTTCAGTATTTTCCTAGCCAAAACCTTGGAGATCACTTGTTGGTCTTTTGCACTCTGTTGCTTCTGGTATTTCTCTCGCAGCTCTGAGATGATGGTGTTATGTTATTCTTCTAAGATTATGTGGCTTTGACCGCATTTGGTGTTTTGTTTTTGTTCTGGGGGAATCCAAAGTCCGGATCTTCTCTGGCAATCTATCATATATTTTTTGTAATATTTTCTCTGTTTTCTTTCCGCGGCCTCCAACTTCATATTGGCCATACATAGATCTCTGTAGACTTTGGATCTGTTTTTTTTTTTCCACTTTTCTATGGCCTCTCTGTCTTGGGGTTTCCGAGTTTTAATAGGAGGGGGAATCCGGTGCCATTTGAGGGGCAGGCAGGTAATCATTCTGTATCTGTAAGACTTCAGGTGAGTGTAGTGGTGTGTTCCTTGACAGGTATGACTCCATAACCACTATTTTCTGGATAGTTGGTGTTCTGTTACTTTGGTTTATTTTCCATTGCCTCCTTTTTTCTCACTGGGAAAGTTGTGAGATGGGTTTCAGTTCACCACTTTCTTTTCTCTTAAGGTATCTTTCTTTTTGTTTCTTAAGATACTCTTGGTATTTTATAGGATCTTGTTTGATTTTGTTTATACATGTTGTTGTCCTCTCCTTGGTTGATTTAGGGGGCATCTTATATAAAAAATAAAAATAATAATAATTAAAGTCAGTAAAAACCATAGTAAGTCACATAAATAGACATCAAAATCACACAATCATCCTAACATAATACAAAATGTAATGGCCTTATTTAGCAAATAAGTGTTCAATTTCAACTTAACCATGATCATATATGTAATTTATGTGTTTTTTCAGGTCTTAAGTTAAGTAAAAATTAATGAACTAATACATTTTGTCATTACCACCACATTCTGTCCTTTCCATCACAGTTCATTATGTGGTGGTAATAACGTGTGGTGGGAATGACATTTTTACAGTATTTGGTCATAAATAGCAGGGATTCTAGCATGCTAAATCCAGTTGAACAACTAGCATACAATGTATCGTAAATACACAATCCTAAAAACAATTTTTAAAAATCTTACATAATTTGATAACATTATAGCCTATTTGGTAATGACTTACAATAAAAATATGATATTCTCAAGTTATATTTACCTTTATTTTTCTATAATTTCCCAGCATCAACATTTGAATCTCCCTCCATGACATCCACATGCTCCACTGTCACTATTCATATCCATGGTAACCAAGTACACAAACTTTTAAAAAACGTTATTATCATGTAATTTGCTTGTCATGGTGGTAATGACACAATACTTAGAGACGACTGTATTTTGTGTAAAAAAAAAAGTTACAAATGGCTTATGCACATCTAATATGTATATAGTTTCCATTTATTTGACTCTTTTTTTAAACAGGTGCATTAAATATTTTATAATTATTAATACTTTTGTAAGTTTGATACATAGTAGAATGTCAAAAGTCTGGTGTGAGACAGGACAAAAACAGTGCAAAACAGTGAAATCCAGACATGAAATGCTTCAGAAAAGAAAAAAACATTGAAAGCTGATAAAAAAAGTTGAAGGTTATTTTAGTCTCTACTTAATGGATGTGAAATCAAATAAAATCGAAATCTAACCCTGAGACACAAAAGGCCTGTATTTGCAAAATCACCCATAAATAAGCAGAATTGATCATAACCTACACATCTGCCACTGTATAACTTTGTTTCCATCCCTCCTCACTACTAAGTTCTCATATTGTGTCTACCCTCTCAGGTTCTTGCTCAGGAATCAGTATGGCGCACCGCTCTCAGTGTTCCTCAGCCGGGGATAACCCCCTGGACCCCAAATACCTGCCTTCCCACTGCCGTGAGGAGTACCGGCTGGCCATTGACGCACTTGTGGAGGATGACCTGGAGGGCTATTATGAATTCCTCCAGAGTGCGGATGTGGTGGACTTCCTTTCCAGACAGGAAATTGAGCACATTAGGTGCACAGTGCAAGTTCCGTACCAGAGCACTCAGCCTGAGCTCCCGTATGTGGAGTCTGAGGGAGATGGCTCTTCAGACACATACTGGCCTGTCCACTCTGACTTTGAAGCACCTGGTCTTGACCTTGGCTGGCCCCAACAGCATCACTTCATAGGCCCCACCGAGGTCACCACACTGGTTAACCCCTCTGAGCCAGATATGCCCAGCATCAAGGCGCAGGCTCGTCGACTGATCAAGAATGCTCAACAAGTATGTCGATCAGCTCCATATTATATTAACACTGATTATGTTGGGCAATATGGTGTGTAACAGAAAGGATATGCAATAGTACAATAGTAAATGTAGAATCAGGGGCATAGTCGGTTTTTGAACAAGGGGGAGGGGGCAATTCTGGTGGGGTGTGGGGGTCCTCCCCTATAATTTTTTTGCAAATTTGAATTTATTTTCCTGCATTTTAAAGGCCCAATGCAGTTGTTTTTGATCTCAATATAAAATAATTTCTGGGTAACAATTAAGTACTGTTGTGGAAATTCTTACACAGGGACACTCAAAGTCAATCTTAAATGAATAATTGTTTATTGTCAGCGCGCTGGAGAGGTTCCAACCAATTCAATGCACCATCGTACACATGTCAACCAGGAGCTCTGCTGGGGCAGTCCCAGCAGTTGTCTTACATACAGCTAGACACAGACAAGTTATATTTGCATGACTTAGCATCATTAATTCATCATTACCGTTTTGTTTCATTCATGTGACCGACCAATACTGGTTCATAACATGTGACAGACCTTACGAGGCTTCTTCTCTCTAAGCTAAGACCTTGAAACTGAGATATCTTTCATCCTCAAAACAAAGGTCTGGGCCTACTGCCAAATTTCAGCTACTGATAGTGAGGATTCGTTCAGTCAGTCACTTGCATGAACACAGAAAATGGTTATTAGAAAAGCACATGAATAGAACACAGAAATTAGTTATTAAAAAAGCACAAATATAAAAAATGTCCAGCATATTCCCTCCTCTTATCACTTAATCTGTGATAATCATCAATACATTTTCATGTAAGCATTTAGATTTGAGCTTCTATATCAAAATACATAATTATAATAAATCATAATAAAGGTTATACTTCTATTAACGGAGTGAAATCAACACATAAAACCAGACACTTCATAATTTCAAGCCCTTCATTCTGGGTTATCATCAACAGTGGCAATGTATTCGGCGAGATCAGTCATATTAGAAGCATGATCTAGGACAAAAGTACAACCTTCATCGCCAATGATTGCACAAGTGCCCCCTTGACCTGCCAAAAGATAGTAAGAGCCTCTCTGTTTTGCAGAGCCAATTTACGCAATTATTTTAGCATTGCCAATTTTCTCCATGTCTCTAGAGATCTCCCGAATTTGGTCTAGGGCACATGCATATTGAATTTCACAGGGAAGAGAGAGAACAAGTGTTATAACAGTTTCACACCAACCTTGATAAGAATGAGATTGGGGCAAGGTTAGCCCAAGCTACAGTCTAGTGTCTCTCCTCACAATTTAGGGACATAGCTCTGTCTCTAGAAGCCTCACCTTTCCAAATCATAATTATAACTATTGATAAATTATCCAACCCAAATTTAGAATGATAGTCCTTAGGGCTTCACGTTGGTTCTATCACTTTAATTTAAGACCCTCAACTTAACACACACCGATACTGGCAGAATGTACATTTACATTGACATACAGTATATTCATCTTATATTTCCAGCATTAACTATTCTCATCACGTGTGGTAATGACAGAGTGGTATCTCAATCCATTCTTAATCTAAATTGCTATAAATGTCGCAGTGTGCAGATCTCCATAATCAATCTGATACCCCAAATAAACAATTTTGGATAAGCCTAAATCAATTACGGGCACGGTTGACCCCCCACCTCCCTCCAGGCACTCATCCTTCTGGTGTTTCTTCATGTTCTTCTTCAGACAGTGTTTCAGTTCATCTTTTTAATGGCACATGTTCAAAGTGGATGGCCCTTGATAATGTCTCTCACCTGATCCGCCACTGTCCTTTACAGTCCATTATGTCTTGTCCATTTTCCTCCCAGTACACCAACAGCATGAGAGAAGTTTGAACGGGATCTCTCTCCATGCTCACTCCACATGGACTCATGTCGCACTCCTGAGAGAAAAGGCATGAGAGAAAACACAGTCGATATCTTCGACTGGATGCTGTGTACAGGTTGCTGGCTCGGACTCAGGTCTCACGGTAGAAGTGGTGGACCATCCTGAACGCAGTTTTCTCCATTATTTCAGCCGGTTAGAGGGGGTGAGGTTCACACTGTTCTCGGCCTAATTATCTTCCATGCATCTAGATACCATCTGTGTTCACCTTCGTCGAGAGAGAGAGAGGACAGACCAGAACAACAGTTTAGTTTAGGGCATTTCTGATTCAGGAAAGGCTATAGTGCAAAATAATTACAATTAGTATTAACACTGGAATGATAGATGTGCAAGAGATCATGCAAATAGAGATACTGGGGTGCAAATGAGCAAAATAAATAACAATATCGGGATGAGGTAGTTGGGTGGGCTAATTTCAGATGGGCTCTGTACAGGTGCAGTGATCGGTAAGCTGCTCTGACAACTGACACTTAAAGTTAGTGAGGGAGATAAGTGTCTCCAGCTTCAGAGATTTTTGTAATTCGTTCCAGTCATTGGCAGCAGAGAACTGGAAGGAATGACGGCCAAAGGAGGTGTTGGCTTTGGGGATGACCAGTGAAATATACCTGCTGGAGCGCATACTACGGGTGGGTGTTGCTATGGTGACCAATTAGCTAAGATAAGGCGAGGATTTGCCTAGCAGTGATTTATAGATGGCCTGGAGCCAGTGGGTTTGGCGACGAATATGTAGTGAGGACCAGCCAACAAGAGCGTACAGGTCACAGTGGTGGGTAGTATATGGGGCTTTGGTGACAAAATGGATGGCACTGTGATAGACTACATCCAATTTGCTGAGTAGAGTGTTGGAGGCTATTTTGTAAATGACATCGCCGAAGTCAAGGATCGGTAGGATAGTCAGTTTTACAAGGGCATGTTTGGCAGCATGAGTGAAGGAGGCTTTGTTTCGAAATAGGAGGCCGATTCTCGATTTAACTTTGGATTGGAGATTCTTAATGTGAGTCTGGAGGGAGAGTTTACAGTCTAACCAGACACCTAGGTATTTGTAGTTGTCCACATACTCTAGGTCAGACCCGTCGAGAGTAGTGATTCTAGTCGGGTGGGCGGGTGCCAGCAGCGTTCGATTGAAGAGCATGCATTTAGTTTTACTAGTGTTTAAGAGCAGTTGGAGGATACTGAAGGAGTGTTGTATGCCATTGAAGCTCGTTTGGAGGTTTGTTAACACAGTGTACAATGAAGGACCAGATGTATACAAAATGGTGTCGTCTGCATAGAGGTGGATCTGAGAGTCACCAGCAGCAAGAGCGACATCATTGATATACACGGAGAAAAGAGTTGGCCCAAGAATTGAACCCTGTGGCACCCCCATAGATCTCACCGCAGAGTTACAGCATCAGGGAGTTACAACTCTTGATAACTCAATAAGGAAATAATTGTATCCCATAAGGTAATGGTAAAATAGACTAGAGACAGGTGTCCCTCATTCAGGGGCAGCGCTCTCTCTCTGTCCTTCTTGTGGTCCAAATCATACATAGGACTATTGATACATTATAAACTTCTTCAAATTATTAGTGTTTACATAGCCCATTTAAATCTCACCCAGTGTCTCTAGTCTTTCTCGTGAGGGTGATCAGGCCTCACCAGAAAGTCAGATCAGAGGACAGAGGTCATTCAACCCCATTAAGTGAGTGTTTGTTTCCCTGTACCTCAGACATTATTTAAAGATATTTTAAACATTTCAAACATTTTGTGTATCAGGTTTACATTGGATTTTTCAGTACATTTCTTATCAAGAGAATGTACATGTGTGCAACCAAAACTCTGACAATAGAAACTTAGAAATAGAAATTTCATTTGTGTACAGCATCTTTTCTAATCCGTGAACCCTACCCCCAAAATAATACAAAATAAAAAGACCCCACACAATAAATCAAACAAGAGTATTAACCACTATCAAATATTAATTAACAGGTGGGTTGTGTGTGGGTGCTGGCGTGTGTGTGGTAAAAATCATAGGTTAAAAACAAACAAAATGTCCTTAATTTGGGAGCTCCCTTAACAGCTGGATCCGGGTACCTTTAACTGCTCTGCCAAGGCACTTGCCTTAGGAAGCCTTTTAAAGGGAGAGATACAGAATAATTGATAAACATGAAAAAAAGACTTGGTAGCGGACATTCCATCAGTCATATATAGAATTATACTTCAGACACATCAGATAATACAGTGTCTCGTCAAGCTGAATAGGCACTTTCTAAAGTAAACAATCCCAGATCCCCTCTCTTGCAATCATTGTCATTTTGACCTGTTGCGTTGACATACAATTCTGTAAAAACATAAACTAGTCAAAATATGAAAAATGTTGTTTAACAAATCTGCTAGGACCTTCAAAAAGTTGGTGCTGGCTTATCAGCTCAGTACTTCAAACATTTACTTGGATCTACTTCATTCTGGACACAATTCCACGTAATGGGAAAAGATGATTGTTTTAGATTACATTACCTTCTTACTTAAATCACTGGTGCTACCCAGACTATAGAATTGATTAATAATAATTGGAAATTGTCAAAAATGTGTCTTATTCAATTATTCATACCTCTGTCCCAAATTTCCCCACTGTCTCTCTTACCCCCACTGTGTCCCTTACAACTAGTTGGAGTACAGTGTGTACTGGCAGCTATTTATTGTTCCACAGGAAGCTTATCTCTTAACCCAAACACCAGATAGCTTAAACACGAGAGCAGTGGACCAGGCCTTGAAGAGTGAGCAGCCTCTAATTTAAGTTGCAGTGCTCAATAACAGTACCTTACTGTAATAGTTTTCCATTAAAGTGGTAAAAAATATAATAATTTTTTTGTTGCAAAAAACATTTCTCAAGCAAGAATGTCACTAGGACTGTCTGGGAGTGGTCTGAGTGGGGGTGGGGGAAGGGCATCAAAGTGGTGCATTAACCACAGTGTAAATCAATCCACCAGAGCAGAAGGGCCTAATGGGAGGGAAATATAACCTAACCTGAAAACTAGCAGTTAATTGCAGAGAGGTTTGGAACTGGTCTATTAACTTATATCGTAACTCCACCCATGCAAAACCTGCTGATTAAAACATCCTGTGTTGATTTTATTTTCAACCAGCAACTATCAGGAAATAACAGTTGAAATGTTCAGCTGTTATACAATATGATACAACATTTGATATGATACATATTTTTGACTGCACTGGGCCTTTAACAAGATTTGCCATTACTCATGGATTCTCTGGAAGGTTTGTAGAAAACATAGTAAAATAAAGGAAATAAAACATGTAGTGGTGTTTTAAGGACAATATAGGAAATATAATGGGTGTGAAAATGTTTACCAATTAAATGTAATCCTCAAAGCATTATTTTCCTCAAAATTAAATAAAGTTTATGTGGTTGGCTTGCCACTTTATATACACAAAAGATTAAACATGAAAAACCCTTGTTTGTTTTTTGAGGTGCACATGAAGAGGACTATTCAAATATGCTCTGTTGGTCAATATTCTCAACATGTGCAATATTTGTTTTGCAGATATCTTGTACCAATCTGTCTGTATAGGCTTTTATCCATAACAAGGCCCAGGCGTAAACCAAGCCTTGCTGGTCCTCTGTAGCTCAGCTGGTAGAGCACGGCGCTTGTAACGCCAAGGTAGTGGGTTCGATCCCCGGGACCACCCATACACAAAAATGTATGCACACATGACTGTAAGTCGCTTTGGATAAAAGCGTCTGCTAAATGGCATATTAATTTTTAAAAAATTATTTAATTACTTATCTGTGCCAGAACGGCCGAGAGCCTTCTGTAGCGTGAAGCAGCTTGATGTAGAAGTACCCCCCCTGGACAGGATGCTAGTCTGTCACAGGGCCTTACCCCCATCCATCTCCTTAATGCTGAGTGTCAAGCAGAGAGGCATCAGGTCCAATTCTCAACTGGGCATCAAACCCCCAACCTTTCAAGTCCAAGGCAGTTATTTCAAAATATGATCAGCATACTTTCTATCTGGTTTTAGACATTCAATAATGGATGCACCAATGTGGATATTGTGGGCCGATACCGATATCATATTTTATTTTACATTTTATGGCCATTCTAGCACAGATAGAAACTGCAACCAAGTTTCTATGTTCACAAGGCTAATAAGAAAATATGTGAAATTATTTGATTATATTTTTTACTTGCATCACAAAGTGACTGAAATGCATTCAAAAGGTTTTTGAAAGTCACAAAAACATCACAAAAGATCATCAGGTAGCAATTGTGTGTCTAGAAAATAAGATCTGCATTGCTTTCAATTGCGGTTACGTCACTGTCCCTTCTAACGAGACCTGCACGGCTTGTGAGCATCGTAGAAGGAACAGAATACATGTGTTCCTGTGAGTCGTAGCTTTCAGTGATGGGGTCATAATAGCTGATAGCTCTAATCGTTCAAAAGTTGAGCTAAATTTGTAGGAAAATTATTGGGGGAAAGCATTTGCCCCCTTTCTGATGTTCAACATTTTTGCATATTTTTTATATTGAATGTTATCAGATCTTCAACCAAAACCTAATATTAGATAAAGGGAACCGGAGTTTAGAAATAACAAATTAAATATGTACTTATTTTTATTTATTTAATTAACAAAGTTATGCAACACCCAATTCCCCTGTGTGAAAAAGTAATTGCCCCCTTACACTCAATAACTGGTTGTGCCACCTTTAGCTGCAATGACTGCAACCAAATGCTTCCTGTAGTTGTTGGTTAGTCTCTAACATCACTGTGGAGGAATTTGAATCCACTCTTGCATGCAGAATTGCTTTAATTCAGCGACATTTGTGGATTTTCAAGCATGAACTGCTCGTTTCAAGTCCTGCCACAACATCTCAATTGGGATTAGGTCTGGACTTTGACTAGGCCATTCCAAAACTTCAAATGTGTTGCTTTTTAGCCATTTTCATGTAGACTTGATTGTGTGTTTTGAATTATAGTCTTGCTGCATGACCCAGCTGCACTTCAGCTTCAGCTCACAGATGGATGGCCTGACATTCTCCTGTAGAATTCTCTGAAACAGAGCAGAATTCATGGTTCCATCTATTAAGGCAAGTCATCCAGGTCCTGATATCCAATTGGTAGTTACAGTCTTGTCCCATCACTGCAACTGCCGTACGGACTCGGGAGAGGTGAAGGTCGAGAGCCATGCGTCCTCCGAAACACGACCCTACCAAGACGCACTGCTTCTTGACACACTGCTCGCTTAACCCGGAAGCCAGCCGCACCAATGGTCGGAGGAAACACCGTCCAACTGGCGACCGTGTCAGCGTGCATGCGCCCGCCACAGGAGTCGCTGAGGAGCACAGGAGCACGATGGGACAAGGACATCCCGGCCAGCCAAACCCTCCCCTAACCCAGACGACGCTGGGCCAATTGTGCGCTGCCTTATGGGTCTCCCGGTTGCAGCCGGCTGCGACACAGCCTGGGATCGAACCCGGATCTGTAGTGACGCCTCTAGCACTGCGATGCAATGCCTTAGACCGCTGCGCCACTTGGGAGGCCTGGTATAAGGTTCTTACTGTGAAATGCAGTGTTTGGTTTTCACCAAGCATAATGGGACCCATGTCGTCCAAAAAGTTATACTTTTGACTCATCTGTCCATAGAACATTCTTCCAAGAGTCTTGATGATCATCCAGGTGCTTCCAGGTGCTTTTTTAGTAAATTTGAGTCAACTTTTTGGACAAGATGGGTCCCATTATGTCTGCCGAAAACCAAAACAGCGATGTGAGAGACTGATCAACAACTCATTGCAGCTAAAGGTGGCACAACCAGTTATTGTGTGTAAGGGGGCAATTACTTTATCACACAGGGGAATTGGGTGTTACATAACTTTGTTAATTAAATAAATATATATTTTATAATAAATATATTTTTTGTTATTTGTAAACTCAGGTTCCCTTTATCTAATATTAGGTTTTGGTTGAAGATCTGATAACATTCCGTATAAAAAACTATGCAAAATTAGAGAAAATCAGAAAGGCGGCAAATACTTTTTCACGGCACTGCATATGCCGACTACGCCTATGTGTAGAATAACTGCACAGCATGTGTGTATAATGCCTCACTATTGCATGCTTTAACATTTGAAGCGAATGTAGGCCTAATCATAATGTTAGACAGACATTTTTGTGTCTGATAGTGAGCTCTGTTGTCCTCTCCAGGTGATCGCTGTGGTAATGGACACCTTTACAGATGTGGACATCTTTGCTGATATTCTGGATGCTGCCATGCGAAATGTTGCCGTGTATATCATTCTGGATGAACAGAATGCACACCACTTTACTACCATGGCTTCCAACTGCCAGGTCAATCTGGAGAGCATTCAAGTGAGTCTATGAAGTGGTGCAATATCTTGACAATATGTGCTGGAGTTTTCCTATTAAGACACGTTTATCATTTTGTCTTTGATGCTTGATGAATTTGGGGGCATTTTCCCTTATAAGGCTTTCCTCTGGAAGTTCATATTCAGGAAGGAACTTAAACGGAAAGGAAACTAGAGGTCAAATAGTTTGACCCGTACCGAAATGGACCTGGGGCTTTCCCACCCGGACCCGATATGCATAAATAAATTTTTTCAATATACACTACCGGTCAAAAGTTTTAGAACACCTACTCAATCAAGGGTTTTTCTTTATTTTTACTATTTTCTACATTGTAGAATAATAGTGAAGACATCGAAACTATGAAATAACACATATGGAGTGTGCAAAGCTGTTATCAAGGCAAAGGGTGGCTATTTGAAGAATCTCAAATATGAAATATATTTTGATTTGTTTAACACTTTTTTGGTTACTACATGTGTTATTTCATAGTTGTGATGTCTTCACTATTATTCGACAATGTAGAAAATAGTAAAAATAAAGAAAAAACCCTTCAATGAGTAGGTGTTCTAAAACTTTTGACTGGTAGTGTAGATACCCGTTCTGAACGGACCCGAGGACAACTAGACCCATTCCGTATAGACCTGGTCGAATCCAGACCCGGTCCGGTCAGCAGTAAATCAGCAGAAAAGTCATTTTTTAAGCTACTTTATTAACCAGAGCTGATAAAGCACGAGAAGAGGGAGAGCGGTGCGGGGGAGGGGCCGTACTGGGAGCGAGTGACTCTGCGAGCAGGGAGGAGGGAGGGAGAGATGAGAGACAGCAACCAACCAAGTCGACTCGTGCTATAGTAGATTAATAGCTTCAATAGCTAGGTTATTTATCATCAAATATGATTACGTAGAACCTGTCTTGACTGCATCAAACCAGGAGAAGCTAGCTAAGATAGCTAACGTTAGCTAGCTAGGCTAATTGAGGCTGCCGTGCATGTGCTTTCTCATCCTACAGTTACAAATAACAACAACTCCATTCAGAATATTAAGTAGCAGCCTACCTGTTGGCTCTTGGTCATTGTAGCATATCCTTCTTTAACTATTAATTCCATAATTTTCTTTGATTAGATATCTCCTAACTTTTGCCACACATGGAGGCTCTATGGCTGTAGTCTATTGCCTCTTTGATGACTTATGATTGGCCAACAACAAGCTACACATGCCACGCTCCACTCTCCTGAAAAGCAACATTAGCAGCATAAATTATTTTAAAAAATCTATCTCGCTCGACTGCAGCTGTTCGCGTTCGTATCTGTACGGGCCCTTCCTGACAAGTCAGTTAAAATTGCACATAACCGAAACCAGTGGCAATCTTATCAGATCCAACCCAGACCCATGACATTATTTATAATTCTGGAACCGGACCCGCTTCGGTCCCGGATCGGGTCTCGGGTATTCGGGTACAGGTGGATCTGTGAAGACCAATAAAGGAAACCTGTAGGCTAGGGAGATTAATAGCTCTGCCTCTCAACTGTGAACATGAAGACCCACTGCCTCTTCCCTCATTTGTTCCCATTCAGTCAGTGAACAACAACTACTCAATTTCAATCATTATTTATATGGAACCAATTCAGTACTTTTTGGAGAACATCTAATGAGAACATAATGTTTTTATCTTGCAGTTCATGCGTGTCAGAACTGTGTCAGGCATCACCTATCGCTGTCGCTCTGGAAAGTCCTTCAAGGGTCAGATGCTGGATCGTTTCTTACTAACAGACTGCAGGGCTGTCCTGAGTGGAAACTATAGGTGAGGGTTAAAAAATGAAGAATGTGGTACAAAGTGTTTTAAAATTGTACAAATGTTGCATGATTTCTCAAGCAGACCTGACATTAGTCATGTGCATTTAAAAAACAGTACATTAAGTTTTTCTTACACCTGTGTAGTAACAAATACATAACATTATTGTTGCATAGTAATGGAGTTAAGAGTTCCTTATTCCATATTAATATATATATATATATATATATATGTTGCTTCATTATGCTGTGTAATGAAATTAAATTCATCTCTCTGCCCACAGCTTCATGTGGTCTTTTGAGAAGATTCACCGTTGCATGGCTCACCTCTTTCTTGGACAGCTTGTGACTACTTTTGATGAGGAGTTCCGGATCCTGTTTGCACAGTCCCAACCTTTGGTACCAGAAAATGTCCTTATTCCAGTGCCAGACTACAGCAGTTTATCTGACAGCCAATACAGCACTGACAGGACACCATTGTTCAGAGATCCCAGAAAGTTCCTGCCCATAGAGAGCTCTCGTCCTGAAGAATGGGCTAGACATTCCTTTGATGACCGCATGGATATGGTTCGGAAAAGGATGCCCCCTGGAAGGCGCGAGCCCATCCACAGGTCACTAGATCAGGATCCACTAGATATGTACAGAAACAAGTACTCCTCACAGCAATTTAGAATAGAGCAGCAGTCGAACACAATGGAGTTTGCTGGCTCTAAAAGGCACAGTTATGCAGAGGGAACTTATGCCAGACACTCCTCCTCTCAATTCATGCAGCACCAAGCCATGCACAACTTTGAGGAGGGTATGGCAACCCAGAGCAGGAAGATACATAGGGAACAGCATCACTACCAGAGAACAGGGCCAGAGCCAGGTTATTGTGGCTACGATGAATTCAGGGACCAAGCGTACCCTCCGATGGATCAGTATTCTGAGTCTGGGTACCCACATGGAATAGAGATAGAGCCACCAGACAACTATGACCCTGTACTGAATTATTTGTCATCATCGAACCTTGCTGTGGAGATGGGACATGGCTCATACAAATTATCACATCCAGGACAGGGTCCCTTTTGTCATTCAAACGCAAAAAGACTGAGCGTGGGCCAGCCTTATGCCTGTCAGACCTCCCCAACACAACAAAACCCGTCTGAACATAAACAGTTTTTTGTCGGGTCTGGTTCGGACCGCAAAACACAGGATCCCAGTGCAAAGCAGGGGATGCGAGATTGGAGAATCAGCTCATACCTCAGTGCATATGATGATGCCGGAGAAGAAGACATTTCACAGCCTATTGGAAATGACCCCTTTGAAGAGCCCCTTAATCCCTCACAAGGAATATTATTTGCTCCACTGGTATCAGATCCCAAGTTTAATGCCAAAGAGTTACCCAAGATTGCAGGGCACAGGTTAAACAAGACCACACGCTCAGAACATTCAAGAACACCAGATATTATTGTTAGCATGGCAACAGATGAAGGCGACAAATCAGAGGAGATGGATATAAAAGAGCCCAAAAGAGAAGAGTCATTCCGTAGGAGGTTCAACCCTGCTATCCAAAGGACCTCTAGGCTAAGATCTTCACTGATCTTCAGCTCACAACTAGAACAGCATATCTCTCAAGAACTGAACCTTACCTCAGGCCAACATTGCGAGGAAACTGCCAATGAGGAAGATGACCAATCTAGATTATCCTTGACCGCTCAGATTTTGGGAAAACGAAGATCCATAACAAGAGAACCTTTTGAATGGAGATTTAATAAGCCAGCAACAGTTGATAATTCAACCATAGAGTCTTTGAAATCTGAGGACATCACTACTGATGCCGGTGATAAGGAATTGCCAAAGAATCCTCCTGTGGGCACCGACATGGCTTCTTCAAAGGAACAACCTAAACCTGACCATGAAGAACAAACCAAAACGGGACAATCTGCACACCCATCCAAATCTGCTCAAATTGAGCAACCCAAAACCATACAAACAGCACACCTGCCATCTTCATTGAGCAATACATCCTATATAGATATGAATGATCCAGACAGTAGGTTCAAGTTTTTTAAAGAGTTGGCTGCCAAACGAAAAGCTGCAAAGGCTGCAGAGTCTGAGAGCAGCGCTGAAAAAGCTCCTCTAAATCCAGTGACTCCATTTGACTTGAAAACAAAGGACCCAGTCACAAGTGTAGAAGCTACTTTTCCAGTGGCTCCACTAAATCAAGCAGATAAATCCACCAAAAAGCCAGCTACATCAACAGAGACCCTACTTAAACCAGAAGATACTTCAACCAAAAAGCCAGCAACATCAACAGAGACCCCACCTAATCCAGCAGATACTTCCACCAAAAAGCCAGCTACATCAACACAGGCCTCATCAGAAACACTGGAGACCTCACCAGTCTCACAGGAGAACAAAACATCCATGGCAACACATGGCTCATTAGATCTTGATGTCAAAGACCATGCTTCTAAAAATAAAGAACAGGAAGACCTTAATCTTCCCAAAACTGAGAAGATTGAGTTGAAGAACAGTCAGAACCAAAGTGTGTCTAAAGTTAACCCTAGAGATACAAGTGCATTTCTTAAGCACACCTCAAAAGAGTGTATCTTTAACATCGCCCCAAAGGATTTTAGTTTATATAAACTATCACCAAAGGAACCAAAGTCATCAAATCCTGCTTCAAAGGAGCTGATCCCATCTTTTCCACTCACCCTAACAGAAGCTAGCTCATCTTTATCTCAGACACCAACGAGTTCCAGTTTAACTAATCTCACTTCATTTAAACATGCAGCAAAAGATTTGAGCTCAGCCCTTACCCCCACCCTTAAGGAGTCCAGTTCATCTAACCCCCCGTCAAAGCAGCAATTACCATCCTCTAAACCAGTCACAATAGAGTCCAATATACCTCTGAGTCCCACCCAATTCAAATCAAGTGTCTCTTCTCATCCCATTCCATCAAAATCCAGCACCTCCGTTCATACCATCCCATTGCAATCAAGTCCCCCCACTATTCCTGGTCCAGTTGAGCCAGTTGTGTCTCCCAAACCTGACAAAACTGATTCCAAGGAATCTCTCAGCCCTACCCCAATGCAATCTTGCTCGTCCTCAATCCTTGCCCCTGCAACAGAACTTAGCCTCCTGCCAAGCCCTACCCAAACAAAATCCAGTTCCTTACCTATGTCCACCTTAATTGGGTCCACTTCATCAACACCAATGGAGTCTAACACCTCTCCCAATCCCTCCACAAAGGAGTCATTGTTTGCAATTGCCACAACTGAGTTGAAGTCACCCTCTCCAAAGACCAACCCAATAAATTCCCACTCCTCTCCTAGTCCTGGCCAAGATGAGTTGGTTTTGTCCCCCAAACCCTCCAAAACAGCATCCAACTCCTCTCCAAAGCCCACCACAGCAGAGTTCAATGACTCTCCCAACTCCTCACTTCCATCGGCAAAGCATGTCACGGAACAAACTGACAAATCTCCTATCCTAACACCAACACAATCTAGTTATTCTTCCAATCCAACAACAAGAGAACCCAACCCTCTTCCTAACAACACCTCAACAGAACCAGGTGCATCTCCTGACCCTACCCCAACAGATTCAAGTGCATCTTCTAACCCTACCCAAACAAAATCACATTCCTCCCCTATGTCTGCTTCAGGTGGATCTGTTTTGTGCCCCAAGCCTGGCCAAACAAAATCTATCACTTCTCCAAACCTCACCCCAACAGAATATTGTTCCTCTCCTAATCATACCCCAACTGAGCCTACCTCACCATTCAAACCTGTCCTTGTGGAATCCAGCCCATCAAGTAACTCAAACCCAACTGAATCCACTGCCTCTCATGACACTGTCCCAGCTCCATCCGTCATTGTCGATAACAGTAAGGAGGACAAACTAAGTAACCTTATCAAGGAGCAAAAAGCTGGAAGTTCTCCTGATGCTAAATGTGAGAAGAAAGCAGGTGATGCTGAGACAATGAGCAAAACTGGTCCTGGAGAATCCGCCTCCCATGGACCTCAGAGTCCTGATGAGACCAAAGAGAGTAGCAGCACTATAAAACCAGAGAGCCCTACAGATCAAACCAATCCCATATCACCCCCAGTGAAGCAAGCTAAAGTAAGCCAGTCCCACTACCATTCATCTACTGCCAATGTACTCTCTAGCAGCAACCTAAGAGATGACACAAAGCTCCTTTTAGAGCAGATTTCTGCTAACAGCCAGAGCCGGACAGAACTCACTAAAGAATCTGCTGTCACTGATGATGCCAAACAGGATGAGGCTGACCGGGGTGTTAGTGGTAAGGAGAAAGCATCGGCCCAAGGACAGAGCAAAGGCCCGACTAGAACTTCTCAGGAGCGGGAGAAGCTACTTCAGAGAATTGAGAGCATGCGGAAGGAGAGGAAAGTATACAGCCGCTTTGAGGTAAAGTACCATACTGTATCAATAGGCCAGTAGCAATTTAACAAAATACAATTTTAAGGTACCTACTGTATTATGTTTTCACTCACACCTGCTTTCCTTCATGTGAGCTCATGTTTTCTGCTTATTATTCTGTATTTTGATAGATGGCGCCTTAACCAGGGATCGGAAGAATGAGTGAGTATGGAGAAAGACCATCGCTCCCCAAAAGACTCAAATCACAGGTCGGAAAGGCACAGCTAGCTAACCAACAGAGAGATATTATTCTCAGGTTTCTATATTAGAGGGTTTCTCCGAATGGACTATCTGCATGTAAAGGATTAAGGTTTTTGGGAACATGAACAGAAACTTGACTAAGTTGACTAAGTTTACCAACATGGACTACTGTATAAGTAAGCAGGGACTCTACAGTGTGGACAATGGACTACTGCTATCTACAAGGTGGGACTGAAACATACAATCTCATCAGCTAAATACACAACTAAATGTGCAATATATTTGAAAATGATTGTGTTCATAGACACACCGGACACACAGGTATTGTTGACTGTATGGGTCAAATGCAATGTAATATCTGTTACTCTCTGGGTTGTTTAATTATTGTCTGTTTGAGGATATGTTTTATATTCTAACAGCCATTTCAAAATACTAAAATTAGAATCACCATTAATCATCATAGAAAATGTAATCATCATAAACAGTGCAAGTATAGCTTTCAAATAGTTAATGGACCACTTTCTTCATTGGGAATGCTTTAGTAGGTTATTAGGTGTAACAAATCATGATGACAATGTGCTAGATAAAACAAATACAGGTAACTGCCAAAATAAAGGAAACACTTGAGTAAATGAGGGATATAAAGTATATTGAAAGCAGGTGCTTCCACACAGGTGTGGTTCCTGAGTTAATTAAGCGATTAACATCCCATCATGCTTTGGGTCATGTATAGAAATGCTGGGCCTGCCATTATTTTGGATACTATTGCTATACCCCTATAGGATGACAATGCCCCTATCCATAGGGCTCAAGGGCACTGAATGGTTTGATGAGCATGAAAACGATGTAAACCACAAGCCATGGCCGTCTCAGTCACCAGATCTCAACCCAATTTAACACTTATGGGAGATTCTGGAGTGGCGCCTGAGACAGCATCTTCCACCACCATCAACAAAACACCAAATGATGGAATTTCTCGTGGAAGAATGGTGTTGCATCCCTCCAATAGAGTTCAAGACACTTGCAGAATCTATGTCAAGGTGCATTGAAGCTGTTCTGGCTCGTGGTGGCCCAACGCCCTATTAAAAAACATTATGTTGGTGTTTCTTTTATTTTGGCAGTTACCTGTATATGCATGAATAATCATGTTTATTTGCACAAAAATGTTAATGCCATGGGACATTGCTATCTCCATTTTGGACTTTCAAAAGTATGTGGGCACCTGCTCATCGAACATAATTCCAAATCATGGGCATTAATATGGAGTTGGTCCCCCCTTTGCTGCTATAACAGCCTCCACTCTTCTGGGAAGGCTTTCCACTAGATTTTGGAACATTGCTGCGGGGACTTGCTTCTATTCAACCACAAGAGCATTTGTGAAGTCGGGCACTGATGTTGGGGGATTAGGCCTGGCTCGCAGTCGGCGTTCCAATTCATCCAAAAGGTGTTCGATGGGGTTGAGGTCAGGGCTCTGTGCAGACCAGTCAAGTTCTTCCACACCGATCTCGACAAACCATTTCTGTATGGATCTCGCTTTGTACAAGGAGGCATTATCATGCTGAAACAGGAAAGGGCCTTCCCCAAACTGTTGCCACAAAGTTGGAAGCACAGAATCGTCTAGAATGTCATTGTATTCTGTAGTGTTAAGATTTCCCTTCACTGGAACTAAGGGCTTAACCATGAAAAACAGCCCCAGACCATTATTCCTCCTCCACCAAACTTTACAGTTGGCATTATGCATTCGGCAGGTAGCGTTCTCCTGGCATCTGCCGAACCCAGATTTGTCCGTCGGACTCCCAGATGGTGAAGCAGGATTCATCACTCCAGATAACGCGTTTCCACTGCTCCAGAGACCAATGGTGGAGAGCTTTACACCACTCCAGCCGACGCTTGGCATTGCACATGGTGATCTTACGTTTGTGTGCGGCCGCTCGGCCATGGAAACCCATTTCATGAAGCGCCCGACGAACAGTTCTTATGCTGACGTTGCTTCCAGAGGCAGTTTGGAACTCTGTAGTGAGTGAAGATTTGTACATGCTCAGCACTCGGAGGTCCCGTTCTGTGAGCTTGTGTGGCCTACCACTTTGTGGCTGATCCGTTGTTGCTCCTAGACGTTTCCACTTCACAATAACAGCACTTACAGGTGACCGGGGCAGCTCTAGCAGGGCAGACATTTTATACATCTGTCAGCAACAGGTGTGGCTGAAATAGCCGAATACACTAATTTGAAGGGGTGTCCACATACTTCTGGCCATGTTGTGTATATATACAGTGCATTCGGAAAGCATTCAGACCCCTTGACTTTTTCCACATTTTGTTACGTTACAGCCTTATTCTAAAATGGATAAAATAATTGTTTCCCCTCATCAATCTACACACAGTACCCTATGATGACAAAGCAAAAACAGGTTTGTAGACATTTTTGCAAATGTATTAAAAATAAAGAACAGAAATACCATATTTACATAAGTATTCAGACCCTTTGCAATGAGACACGAAATTGAGCTCTGGTGCATCCTGTTTCCATTGAACTTCCTTGAGATGTTTCTACAACTTGATTGGAGTCCACCAGTGGTAAATTCAATTGATTGGACATGATTTGGAAAGGAACACACCTGTCTATAGAAGGTCCCACAGTTGACAGTGCATATCAGAGCAAAAACTAAGCCATGAGGTCGAAGGAATTGTCCGTAGAGCTCCGAGACAGGATTATGTCGAGGCACAGATCTGGGGGAGGGTACCAAAAAATGTCTGCAGCATTGAAGGTCCTCAAGAACACAGTGGCCTCCATCATTCTTAAATAGAAGAAGTTTGGAACCACCAAGACTCTTCCTAGAGCTGGCCGCCCGGCCAAACTGAGCAATCGGGGGAGAAGGGCCTTGGTCAGGGAGGTGACCAAGAACCTGATGGGAGCTCCAGAGATGGGAGAAATCTCTCATGAGCTTAGTTTATCTGTCGTACCCCATCAGAACTCAAAATATACGCTTGTTTTACTGCATTGTTTACTCCATTGTTTGTAAACGAAACGATGCAATTGTGAACAAACACTGCATAGCCTCAAAACATTGTTAAAACTATGTTGATATCATGGATGGTCAGTTCTTGCATCCATAGTTCTATCTCGGAATTTGAGAGTGGTTAAATTTCTCCAACCCCATCCCTCAGCTGTGTACCAAAAACAGTGGCGGGGTGTCAGCTTTGTTGTTGTTTGAACTGCATATTGCCCCTTTAACCATTGCACAACAGCACGGCATGCTGTTTTTCAGTTCGATCACTTAGTTATCTTCATATCCGTTGACCCTCTCTATGTCTCAGTAGGAAAGCATTCATTATGGTTAATCATGTATATGTAATGCTTTCAATGCCAAAGTCTGAAAATGTCATGAAAATGTCATTTCTAACCTGCTCAATCCACTGCTTACAGTATGTACACTGACATGTATTTTGAACTTTAATGTTACATGAGATTCCTTACTGGTTGAACTAGTTTTAAGGCTCTGAATGTGCAATACTGTTTTCATCAGTATTTGCATGAGTTATTATTTGAATTAATTAGTTAAACTGTGTTGGATGTCATTGTTTTGCATGTTAAGCTCTGTGCTCTGCAAGCTAGTTTCATAGCTAGTTTTACACTTTTATAGTGTCTTTACTGGCTTCATAAGGTAGAATCCCTCATAGAAAGCACAAACAATATCACTTATGTCTGAGCTGCTGATACACAGTCAGCTATTGTATAGTCCCCGGGTTACTCTGTCTATTATTTAGATATACTCTGTATAAATGAAATAAGCTAAATAAAGTGTGTAAATGAACACCATTTTCTTGATAGTGTTGTCTGTTTCATTTTTTGGGGAAATAAACTGTTTGATTTGTTTTCATGTTTCACAAAAAGACTGGAATAACCATGTGCTTTTTACCTATTGAGGGAGAGGAGGACACGTTTACATGCAGAATTGGGCTCTTGCACACCCGGAGGTCAAAATAGAATTAGTAGCCTACTTGGCTCTTCACTTGGACTGAGGAATGTTTCATTCATAAAGGAGAAAGGATTAGTGGTTCAGGTTTGCTCTGTCTTTGCTCCAAACTTAAATTCAGCTGGTGGCTTAAATGCACAATCTTTGTCAGGACTTTACATTTTACATTTTAGTCATTTAGCAGACGCTCTTATCCAGAAAGACTTACAGTTAGTGAGTGCATACATATTTTTTTTTTCTTACTTCATTGTTGAAAATAGTATTTTCAGTAACATGGGACAAACCCTAAATGGCAATTTGGATACTGTGGCTCCAGACCTGTTTGACCGCAGCAAGGGATCATTGCTGCGAAAAGGTAAGGTTTTGGGCTATTCCTATCTCACGTATTCATCATAACAGTCAGACTATGAGCTCCCCTAGGTGTCGCCATTTCAAAATGTCCCAGTTCAAAACAGTTTCTACGACCTGATTATAGTGTTTTACATTTCAATGAGCTTACTCTCATTCCTTTTGTGGCTTCACAGGAACAGTTGGAGTCTGGAGAAATCTGTTTACCAACGCCCAGAGTGAAAGGTTTGACAGGATCTACAAGGAGGGGATGAAAGGTTTCCCTTTGGAGTCCCTTTGGGATCTATGAACTGTGAATTGTAACAGGCCTACTGTTGATAAATAACTAAGAACTTGCAATGTTGAAAAATACAGTGAGGGAAAAAAGTATTTGATCCCCTGCTGAGTTTGTATGTTTGCCCACTGAAAAAGAAATGATCAGTCTATAATTTTAATGGTAGGTTTATTTGAACAATGAGAGACAGAATAACAACAACAAAATCCAGAAAAACGCATGTC